TAGTCACAGCATACATGGCACGAAGAATAGCATCAAAGTCAAGATCAAAGATAGCTACTCCTGCCCTAGACAGCTGGTCCCAGCGAGGGATCTCAGAGGCATCAGGAAACTGGCGGCGCCAGGCGTCAGTCAGGCGGCCGAAGCAGCGCTGGGCGGAGTGTGGACCACCACACAGCTCACCCGCACGGTCGCCAGTGCGAAGGACGTAGGTGCACGGACCAGGACCCCCACCCCTCTGACGTGCAGCGTACCACTCACGGAGCTGCTGCGGGGAGAGGGTCTCCTGACCACGCTGCTGCTGCTGGTGCTGACCACCACCGGAGCCACTCCTCCGCGACGAGCCACGACCTCCGCCGCCTCCTCCGCCGCCTCCTCCGCCGCCGCCGCCACCACCTCCGCCGCCACCGCCACCCCCACCGTCGCCGCCGCCACCACCGCCTCCGCCTCCACCCCCACCACCACCGCCGCTGCCGCCCCCGCCTCCACTGCCGCCGCTGACACCTCCACTCCCGCCACCACTCCCGCTACCACCCTCACCTCCTCCGCTGCCTCCACCGCCGCCTCCACCGCCCCCGCCGCCTCCCCCACCGCCCCTGCCTCCCTTGCCCTTGCCAGAGCGACGTCTCCCGCTGGGGGCAGACGCCGCACCGACTGACTCAAAACCAACGAGGTCGGCCGTGGCAGCAGAGGCAACAGAGGGCAGGAGGGGGGAGGGGGAACACCCCTCAAAGATGGGGGTGCGCGGGTCACCACGAGAGGCCCCTACAGCGAGAATGCTCTTCTCGGCTGCTAGGAGGGACTTCTCGAGGAGCTCAACAGTGAGAGTGGTGGGGCAGACTGAGAGTAAGTCGTCCCTGACTCCGCGAAGGGAGTCAGGGAGGCGGGTGACAATGTAGTAGAGAGTGAAGTACTGGGGGGGGGGGTTCTTGGCACAGAATTCAGCAGGAAGTGCAGCGCGGAAGCGAGCGTCACTAGTGCGCAGGTGGGTAATGAGGTCGGCGACTGTGGCAAAAGCAGCGAGGTCGGGAAAGAGGTACGGTAGCATGAGGCGGCTCAGTGCAGCAGTGGCAGGGGTGGAGTAGCGTGCAATAACGGCGTCGTACAAGGTCTTAGCACTCTTGTACGACCCAAAGTGTGCACGCTCAGCGGGAGGGAGGTGACGACGCACAACAAGACGTGCAGCAGCATCGCGTGTGGCCCACTGTGAGCGAACAGTGGCATCCTCAGTAGCAGTAGGGGCGGGAGAGGCACCAGAAGTGAGATCAAAGAGAGAGAGGCCGTCAGCTCTGTCGCACTGTAGGAAAAGCAGTAGGTCGTCTACCCACACGTCAAAGTCGATGGCTCTGCCCTCAGCGTCAAAGGTGAGGACACTGGGGGTAGCCATGACAGCAGTAGGGTGAGGGCAGTGCGCAGAGTAAAGCTCAGTGCTCACCAGACAGGGCAGTGCAGGGGCTCGGGCGGCTCGGGCGGCTCGGCGGCTCGGCTGCTGGGCGGCTCGGGCGGCTCGGCGGCTCGGGCGGCTGCGGCTCGGCTACTGGGGCGGCTCGGCTGCTACGGCGGCTCGGCTGCTGGGGCGGCTCGGCCTTTGGGACGGCTCGGCTGCTGGGGCGGCGGGGCCGGGAGATGAGGCGGCGGGGCCGGCAGGTGCAGCAGCGGGGCCGAAAGGTGCAGCAGCGGGGCCGGCAGGGTTAGCGGCGGGGCCGGTAGGTGCAACGGCGGGGCCGGCAGAGGGGACGGCGGGGCCGTCAGAGGGGACGGCGGGGCCGTCGGGCGCAGCTGCGGGGCCGGCAGAGGGGACGGCGGGGCCGTCAGAGGGGATGGCGGGGCCGTCGGGTGCAGCTGCGGGGCCGGCAGAGGGGACGGCGGGGCCGTCAGGTGCAGCTGCGGGGCCGGCAGAGGGGACGGCGGGGCCGTCAGAGAGGACGGCGGGGCCGTCAGGTGCAATGGCGGGGCCGTCTGAAGCAGCAGCGGGGCCGGCAGAGGGGACGGCTTGGCCGGCAGAGGGGACGGCGGGGCCGTCAGGTGCAGCGGCGGGGCCGTCTGAAGCAGCGGCGGGGCTGGCAGAGGGGACGGCGGGGCCGTTAAGCGCAGCGAAGGGGCCGATAGGGGGGACGGCGGGGCCGTCGCACGCGATCGCGGGGCCGCCAAAGGGGACGGCGGGGTCGCGAGGGTCAGAGGGGGGGGCGGCGCGCGACGCGGCGCGGCCGTCTAGGGGCGGCGCGACGAGGCCGCGGAAGTGGCGCGCCAGAAAAAAGGCGGGCGGCTCGACGCGATCGGGCCGCCAAAAGAAAAAAAAAGGCCCAGCGCGACTCGGGCTAGGGCAGAGCGCGCTCCGGGCAGGACGAAATAGTGGGTGGGCCCTAGGAACAGTTCCCACTAGGGAACCTGCTCGATACCATGTTGAGATAGAGGCGAGGAATGAGTGCACTATGAAATGAAACAAGTACAAGTACCAACCCTAATTGGGTTGTACCCCATGTGGGCTACCCCACTAAAGCCTACAATACATGCATCAGGTAAATATAATCTGACAGATCACGTAGTCAAAAGGCCTGTGGTACCTTGGGCTTCACGTACTCCACTCTTGCTATCCAATCGTCGATTAGTGACTCGTCCGCGTCGGGGTAGAGTGAAGTGACTTTCTCCCGTACGAATCTGCGACGATAGCGCATCACAGGAGCATGTAGCTTACCCGTATATTTGGTGATACAAATCCGCATGCACCCATAATATCCACTTGATTTACCTGGCCACATGACGTTCAAACCCCTTGTGCATTTTCTTGGAGTCAGCATGTAGAAATCTGGTTGGCTTCGGAAGGGCACCTTCCTTAGGTGCGTGATCGTTGTCTAGAATCAGCAGGCTCCAGTGATCGCTGGAGCGAAACAGAGTCAGCCGGGTGTTATCAAACGGCGTGTTGGCGTTATGAAAGGAATGGGCGGCGACTATAAAACGCTCTGGCAACGTACTCGAAGTGGATAGGGATGAGAACCCACTTCCATTCGAGCAGGTTCTCCCCATGTACCATGTTCCCGAACGGCCTTTTGCGCTTTGGCGCGGAAATGGTGGGGTAGAACATAGTCAACACATAACACCACGTCTTGTCGTCCATGCCGTGCTGAAACTGCAACATGCTGCCACACAGGAGTCCAGGGTGTGTTTGTGATATATTAGTATCAGCCTAGGACAACCATAACGTGGGTACTACGAAGCGGGCGTATGGAAGATACTCACGAGCCAAACCACTCGATAACATCGCCTCCTACCCACTCTCTGTCTAGTAGAGTGTGGGCATGTTCCAGTGTCATGGATAACCAGCTGCTCCCAAGGGGAAATGGCATCATGTAGTTAAAAGACGGGCCATGTTCGGGCTCTTCCTGCTGCTCTTGGTGATCGGACGCCACGTTTCCACGTGTCGCGAGATATCAGCTTTGCCCTAATGCTAGGGTCCACAGGGTAGCGGGATTTGAAAGAAGCCAACAGCGCTAATGGTTGGTATGTTTCTACAGACTCCTCTTGTTGGTCGTGACGAGCCCTTGTTGGCCTAAACGGTGTCAACAGTATCGTGTCCAAACTGGGGTCTAACAATGCGAGGCAGTCAACTTGCCAGCTAGGTTGTGAAAGTACACGTGTAAAATTGCTCCCATCCTCTTTCGGACGTACCAGTAACGGGAGGTCCGAACACTTGAAAGCGATGCCACGGCTTTGGTCACGAGGCTAAGGTTCGTCCGTCCGAACTTGGACTTAGCGGTTTGGAGACCCGGTTTGGGAAAGGGTTACTCTCGTACGCATATAATGGACGGTTGGCCTCCGTGACAGCATCTGTCATCGGCTTGGATGGTGCGCCGCCACGCGACTCGTCAAAGTGTTACACAGGGAGGAGGTGTCCCAACCACATAACCGATGCCGCGTATGTCCCATCCACGGTTGACCGTGGTTAGACAGCCCGATAATCTACGGCTGACTAAACAACTGGTTACGATCCCCTCCCTTCATTATCATTTGCTCGAAGTTCTGTTCGGTTCCTTGTGTCTCATAATCAACTCGATCGCAGTCCATCATCACTCGCCAAACAGCTTGCCAGGATATACTTAGCATACATATGCTTAATTATCCACAGGGATGTCTACCCCGCACGGACGACCGTTACGAAATAAGAGGGTACCCGACCATCTTAAGGACTTTGTTATTCCGACTGCTAGAGCCAGGCCCATAGACCCTAAGTGGGCCGCGGAGGTCGTGGAGGTTAGAGCCCTCGTACTAGCATACCGGGAGAATTACCCGGCGAAGACTGGACACTTGGCACCACATGACAGCAGACGACTGGACGCAACAGTGGCGGCCGACCGAGAACCTCCTGTACGATACCCTTACGGTATACCATATCACACCGTCCGCGCAGAGCAAACCGCGCATCGTCGTAGCCGCGCCAACGACACTCAGGTGGCGGAGCAGGATGTCATAGCGCAGAACGCAGCGAAAAAAGGTGAGATTTCGCATCGCTGACTTGGTCTGCATTTCTGTTAGCGTCACAAGCCCGCCAACGGCTGACCACTGCTGTATCGGTTTAACGCGTTTGTTTGCCAGATATTGACGTGGGGGACGTGGAATGCGCAGAGGAGAAAAATATTCGGACTGATCCAGCCAAAAGCGGGAACACAGAGGTTGGATGGGCGAGCAGTGAGGATCGAAATCCGGGGTCGTGGTACGAGTTCAACGCCGAGCTGTACACAGTGCCGGTGTGTTCGCCGTGCACAGATGCTGACACTGACGACAAATCTGCACCTGCTGGGAACTCTGAATCTGACGGCAGCGCGTCTGAGGGGGAAGATTGGGTCGCCGCGGATGTCGACTTGGTGACCGATTCAGACACCGAACGCCCTTCCCCCCCTCACGCTTACCCTCCAGGCACTCCAATCTGTAACGAGGCCGTGGTCGACACAAAGGCGAAAAAGCATCGTGGAGCAAGGAAGTCGGCCAAGAAACACGCGGCCGATCCCATGGCGACGGTTAGGCGAATCATACCTCACACTGAACGGGGAAAGGCGACCCGACAAAATTATGTGAATATGTACGCGGAGGCGGGGACGCTGGAGACAGGGAGCGACGACGAGTTCATGCCAACCGTGCTCTACGGTCAGCTGCAGTCACCACGAAACGCGGTAACGCCAGGGGGGTCGACTATACCGAACGATGGGGCCGATGCGGAGGAGGATGACGAGGCAATCCCTGCTCATATATTGAACAACGACTGGAGCTGGCTGGAGTTCGGCGACGACGGCAGCGAAGACGGGGCTTCGGCGGATGTGGAAGAGGTGCCGCAGAAGGTCAAGGCTAAAACGCCACCTCCAAGTAGTGACCCTGTACCTTTGGCGGCGGGGCCACCAAGGCACAAGTTGGACATCAATCACACGCCCCGGTCAAGCTTTGGGCCTGTAGTGCACGCGCATGATGCCACCGTGCATGAGCATGCTGAGTTGCCAACCCCCCCCCCCCCCCCCTTCCGCAATTTGCTACCAAAAATGCACCGAGTCATCGCTCGGAAAGTCGACAGGTGAAGCAGGAGTCAATCCCTCACACTCTGCCGTCCCTGCCGAGTAGTTCCAGGGCCAGCGGGGCCTTCTGCTCTCCAGGAAGGGCGCCTTTCACCTCTCCCCGGACTGCCCGTGCCAGCTCTTCTCCCTCTCAGGTCCCGGCAAACCATACGCCGGCTCGCCGCGAAGAGGCAGCTCCTGCTCGGGGGTCAGGCGTGTCCGGATCTGCCGGCGGTGAAACCCCTGAGGGTGCGCGGGTGGATAGCGGTGCGAACAATGATGCAAGCCGTGTTGCGACACTGGAGGCGGAGCTGCGGGCATTGATGGGGAAAGTAGCCCAGCTCAGCGGGCAAGTCGTTAAGAGGCAAGTGGAGCCGGAGGGTCAAAGGGGGCAAAATGTGGACAAACCCGCTGAGGCCGTTGTCGAGAGTCAGCCGCCGGTTCCGGTTGTCACCAAGCCAGCAGCAACACCCTCTCGGAAACCCCAGGTGGCCCCTACCGTCAGGGCAGACCGTGAAAGCCCTGACAACCCCGCGTCCAAGGGCACTTCAGATGTGCGGAAGGATAGCCAGCGGCTTTCCGGCAGGAAGGATGCACCCCACCTACCGCCGAATCCGCTGATGTATGATCCGCTCCTTGCATCCCCAATCACGCAACCGGAAAGCCGTGAGGACGATGGTGACCGTCCCAGCACACTGGATGCGCGGCCTCTGAAGCGTATGCTATTCTCAAACCCCCTGGAGTCTCTTCTCCGTACCGAGCTCCCACCCACGCAGGATGACTTGGGGAGCGGTGGGAGCCATGGAATGGGGAGGACCGATGAACCTATCCTCGACAGGCAGGGCAATACACATGGCACAAACATGTCCTCTCAGCATTACAAGGAGGGGCCAAGGCGTTTTGGCGGGAAGCGGGGCAGGGGCGACGAAAGCGTTATCATTGTGGTTGATTACGACCTGGAAGAGCGGGTCCCCGGTCTACCGCGCTCAATGCCTAAACCCAAGCCATTCAGGGTGAGTCAACGTCTTCTGTGCATAAACCCCAATAGTGCACTTATATGTGAGTTTGGAGAGTAGAGAGTGTAAGGCCACTGAACGGTTGCCCGCAAATGAGCCCTTGCTGCCCGATGCTTGCTCGAGCTGGCCATTGCGTGATCCGCCTAAACCCGTTGTTTGTCCCGATGTGACCCTTGAATGCTTGTTCTGCCTCTTTGATGCTAGGTCTGCATCAAGGTTGCTCGGTACCCCTCGCTTGCCCCCCCTGCCCCTCGCCTGCTCATTCTGGACCTTGCTTACTCGTGATGCCTCTTGCTTGCTCATCCTGACCGTTGGTTGCTCGTTCTGCCGCTTGCTGGCTAGCTCTGCCCCTTGCTTGCTAGTTTTGCCACTTGTCAACCTGTACTTCCCCTAGGTTGCCCACCCTGCCCCTCGCTTTGTCATTTCGCCCCTTGCTTACTCGTTAAGCAAACGTCTTGCTCATCCTAACTGTTGATTGCTAGTTTTGCCGCTTGCTGACTAGCTCTGCCACTTGCTTGCAAGTTTTGCCACTTGTCAACCAATTGTGCCCCTCGCTTGCCCCCCCTGCCCCTCGCCTGCTCATTCTGCCCCTCGCTTACTCGTTATGCATATTGCTTGCTCATCCTGACCGTTGATTGCTAGTTATGCCGCTTGCTTGCTAGATCTGCCCCTTGCTTGCAAGTTTTGCCACTTGTCAACCAATTGTGCCCCTCGCTTGCCCCCCCTGCCCCTCGCTTGCTCATTCTGCCCCTTACTTACTCGTTATGCCTCTTGCTTGCTCATCCTGACCGTTGATTGCTAGTTATGCCGCTTGCTTGCTAGCTCTGGCCCTTGCTTGCAAGTTTCGCCACTTGTCAACCAATTGTGCCCCTCGCTTGCCCCCCCTGCCCCTCGCTTGCTCATTCTGCCCCTTGCTTACTCGTTATGCCTCTTGCTTGCTCATCCTGACCGTTGATTGCTAGTTATGCCGCTTGCTGGCTAGCTCTGCCCCTTGCTTGCAAGTTTTGCCACTTGTCAACCAATTGTGCCCCTCGCTTGCCCCCCCTGCCACTCGCCTGCTCATTCTGCCCCTCGCTTACTCGTTATGCATCTTGCTTGCTCATCCTGACCGTTGATTGCTAGTTATGCCGCTTGCTTGCTAGCTCTGGCCCTTGCTTGCAAGTTTCGCCACTTGTCAACCAATTGTGCCCCTCGCTTGCCCCCCCTGCCCCTCGCTTGCTCATTCTGCCCCTCGCTTACTCGTTATGCATCTTGCTTGCTCATCCTGACCGTTGATTGCTAGTTATGCCGCTTGCTTGCTAGCTCTGGCCCTTGCTTACAAGTTTCGCCACTTGTCAACCAATTGTGCCCCTCGCTTGCCCCCCCTGCCCCTCGCTTGCTCATTCTGCCCCTCGCTTACTCGTTATGCATCTTGCTTGCTCATCCTGACCGTTGATTGCTAATTATGCCGCTTGCTTGCTAGCTCTGGCCCTTGCTTGCAAGTTTCGCCACTTGTCAACTAATTTTGCCCCTCGCTTGCCCCCCCTGCCACTCACCTGCTCATTCTGCCCCTCGCTTACTCGTTATGCATCTTGCTTGCTCATCCTGACCGTTGATTGCTAGTTAAGCCGCTTGCTTGCTAGCTCTGGCCCTTGCTTGCAAGTTTCGCCACTTGTCAACCAATTGTGCCCCTCGCTTGCCCCCCACTGCCCCTCGCTTGCTCATTCTGCCCCTTGCTTACTCGTTATGCCTCTTGCTTGCTCATCCTGACCGTTGATTGCTAGTTAGGTATAGGTAGGTGTGCAGTGGTGTGATTTGCTTACACTAAAATCTAGTACAGTGGAGCTAAGTAATGCTGACGTGACGGCCGGTGAGGGGGGCTCTATATGCAAACCTAAACGGAACATACCCGCCCTCTGTTCTTTGTTTGCAGAGCCCCACATGGGATTTAAAATCTCGGTATGGACTCACATACAGGGCGACCGTCGGCCCTTCATGAACGAGATTTTCTACAAGGCCTGCGTGGCGGCTTACCCTGAGTGGGAGCGAGGGAAGTGCATGGTGCTCGTCCCATACCAAATCGCATGGGTGATGATGTCCGTAAGTGTCGTCACTAGCAAATATCCTTTATGTTGAAGGGCATACAGTAAGCATTGTTTGTGTTGTGGTGGCTCTGTTTTTCCAGGTGGACTTTGGCCTCCAGAACATGCGGGACAACACGGTGCACCTGAGTGGCAGCCCATTGGAGACGGAGAGGTGCATGGAAACGGCCACTGAGCTGGTGTGGGAGGTGGTGCAGATGTGGTTGCGGCTGGCTAGGGGGCAGTGGTACGACCCCCGGCTTAGGGCGTATCGTTGGGGGGATAAGGGGCTGTACATTAACGAGAGCGGGCTTGAAGAGTTTAGGCCAGAGTGCTTTGTTGGAACCCGTGATGTCAATAGCGGGGATCTTAGCCCGTGGATTATTCGCCGCTAGTGTAGGGTGAAACGGACTTTTTAATATCGTTTGTCATAGCAACGTTTAGTAACGCTAAGCGTTCTGATTGCGAGAGGTTTTTTATTGTACTGATATATGTTACTCATCAAACTGTAGGTGTAGTTAATATTTCGTATGTAAAATATAAACCCGTTTTTTGGTCGCGGCGCATTCAAAGTGCTCGTGGTACCGAGCCGCCATTTTACAAACCCCACACGTGTGTATATGCTCGGTGATTGGAAGTACATGTCTTTTGCATCCCTCCCGAAAGCGTCCCAAAAATGTCCAAAATGGTCCTCTGGAACACTTTCGGGATGGCGGGGAGGAGTCTTGCGGAACAAATAACTGAGTCTCGCAACGTTACCGGAGTTGTTCCCGAAAGAGACTTTCGATATGGGTGCAAAAACTATCCCGAAACTCTCTTTCAGGTCAGTTTTGTGACATTTGTGGGAGCCAGGATATTGGCGATGATGCAGTGCGCACTGGAGCCTTGGAGTCATCGAAATCAACCATGCTCCAGGATCTCTGATCCCGATCAAGTGTGTATTGTGGCATGCGGACTCATATGCAAGTCACCGAGACAGAAGCAAAATCGTGGGCTGACGCGATCCAGTTACACGTCATCGAGGTACGTGCACGGGATACCCGGTTGTGCATGGACAGGCGTGGGATGCGCGAATGGGAATAGGGAGTGGGAGGGACGGTGGAGCATGGACAGGCGCGCGATGCGCGGATGGGTAAGGGAGTGGGAGGGACGGCGGTGCATGGACAGGCGTAAAATGCGCGGATGGGTAAGGAGGTAGGAGAGTAGGCTATGCATGGACAGGCATGGGATGCGCGGATGAGTAGGGAGTGGGAAAGACGGCTATGCATGGACAGGCGTGGGATGCGCGAATGGGAATGGAAAGTGGGAGGGACAGTGTAGCATGAACAGGCGCGCGATGCGCGCATGGGTAAGGGAGTGGGAGGGACGGCGGTGCATGGACAGGCGTGGGATGCGCAGATGGGTAAGGGGGTAGGAGAGTAGGCTATGCATGGACAGGCGTGGGATGCGCGGATGAGTAGGGAGTGGGAGAGACGGCTATGCATGGACAAGCGTGGGATGCGCGAATGGGAATGGGGAGTGGGAGGGACGGTGGAGCATGGACAGGCGCGCGATGCGCGGATGGGTAAGGGAGTGGGAGGGACGGCGGTGCATAGACAGGCGTGGGATTATGCATAATACAAGCACCATCCACTCCGAGTGCGCTATGCAGGTGCGTCAGCAAGACAACGAGAACGACTGTGGCGTTTTTGTGATGCGTGTCATTCATACGCTTGTCGAGACCAAGTTCGACAGATTGAATGCGTGTGACTTGGCCGGGACACCAAGACAGTGGAGGCGCCAGTATCGTGACGATTTGGCTAGGTGGTCCTGTGTCTATCACAATGCATGTGGGTCGATCCAGGCTGATTGATGCCATTAAGTGTGCTTGGTGTTGGTTAGTGACATGCATTTGCACCTGACAATCTGTTGCTTCGTACTGCTCGACGCTTGATGGAAACTGACATGACAGTACGGTAACTGCTTTGCATGGGGTGGTAAGCTCTAAGCCGACCACTACATGGTGTCAGTCAGGACACTCAGAAACACAACATAGTGGTTGGGGTCTTGCTGAACTTGATGAGTAGTCAGGAACAACCTCCAAGAGGCATGGCAGGCAACCATGTGAGTATTTCACTTTCACATGGACCTCAACGCGAATCGTCCTTCTGCAGCGCCCTAAAAAGGGTGCTATGCATCGGCCCGTGAGCGTAGTAATGTGGACACTATGCAGCTTCTATCATCTCCAAGGCTATAACATCTACGCGGCAAGCCAGCTGTTGATGTGATCCTAATTGTGCTTGCTCTCACGAATTGCACAATGTTTATTGATGGTTGCTAGGTGTGAACACTGGTATAGTCGTTGTAAGTCACGCCAAGCATTCACCCTAATCTGAGACTGCAAATGCACAGAAGCATACCAGTGTGCGATACGGCGGCCGGACTGACACTGTTAGTTTACGCGTGCAGGATGATTAGTTTGAAGCAACCTGTGAGCACCTTGTTTTGAAGGGAAACTTTGTGAACCTTTCAACATTTCCCAAATTCGTCATTCCCTTATCGCATCAATCAAGTTACATCCCCGCTACAATTAGCCGTGCCACCAAATCAATGTTTCAACGCAACCACTCGGGGTATTCTCAAACCGCGATGTCTTGCATCCATCACGGCTCCAAACGCACAAATGTGCACCGACAACGCGCTGCCAATTTGCTGCAGTCACATCGATTTTATTTTTTGGCGTGCGGCAAGGCTTGGTTCAGTTCCCGTGATCACGCATGTAATTACTTTCTACTTGACGCATTTATAATTCCGATCAGGCATTGTGGGCGCTAGGGCGTTCTAGCCCAAGTAGTCTGCTGCAATTTAGGATTCGAAACATTGGCTCATTGACAGCGCGTTCCTTGCAACCCCCAGGGCAGCTAAACTGTTGCGTTGCACCAACCCCCACCACCCAACGTGCTGCCACCTGGTAACTCGTTACAGGAACAAGCATCTTCATGCCGATTCTCATGCCGGGAGATGAGACCACGCTATGCTCCACGTTCGAAGCACCTAGTTCGTCTTGCTGGAAGCCGTTCGGTTCTCGTCACGATACCCCCCTACAGTAGGCACGTCAAGCAACAACGGTAGTAGTACTACCTGTTAGTCAATGTCGATGTTCCCTCTGGCACTCGATGCAAAGTGAGAATATGGCAGTGGTAGCACGTAAAAGCCGCCACATTGCTGTTCTCGTAATAGGCTCATCCAGCTATGGCGCTTCGAGTGGCTCTCGTAGGAAGCACGTCCTGCTTTGGCGTTGCGATTGGATCTCGTAGTAGGCTCGTCCTGCTCTGGGAAGGCGGTGATGTTGGTGATGTTATCTGACGGCGCGTCCAGGAAGGGCGCGTTTCGCGGCCGTTTGCGAGTTTCGCGGGCACGTAGTGCGATTGCGTGCTGTTGTTCTGGCAGGCACGTCCAGCTCGCGCGCCGTTGTTCCTTGCGTCTCTAACACGTATTTATGGAAAACTTGATACTTAGGGATGCACAGCAAAATTTTGTAACCGTTCATTGGGCTTGTTTAGCGGAATTGATAGAGAGATGGCGGACATCATCGTTTCTGAACAGGCCAATGCTAGTGCGCTCCTCGATAGCGCTGGAGCTTTACATCCCTCGGGTGACGCGAAAACCGACGCGGAACAGCAGCTGCACGACAAGATCACGCCTCACGATACCTCCCAGCTAGTTGTGCGGTATCGTCGGAAGAACACACTTCCTGCACATGATGCCAAGGTGGAATCGGAAGGGGCATCTTCATCGGATAGTGAGCAATCTGAAGAAGAGGCCTACGATGGCAAGGTTAGACGCGGCGGTTCACGCGGGCGGAGGAACGGTCGAAAGCTGAAGCCGTTGGACCAGTGCAAACCTGCTACGGGGAGGAAAGGTACGCAGTGAACTTTTATCCAGCTTCTTCAAGTTTGTATGTCTTAAAGTTGCTCGTTAATAATTTGGATGTGTTCGCACCCAATCCAGAGAGGTGCTGCCCTCCTATTAACTGAGCGTATCGTCCTTACTTCATGCGTGTTGTAGGTACCCTCGCTGGAGCCAATAAAAATAAGAAAGAAAGACAAGACGCGGCTGGTGCAACAGGAATCGTGCAAGATGTAGATGACAAGGAGCAACTGCCAGAGAAAGGGCATAAGCGTGGGGATGAGCGTGATGGAGAGCGTCAGGGCAGGCATGAGGGAGGGCTTGAGGGCAGGCGTGAAGGCAGGCGTGAGGGCAGGCGGGAGGGAGAGCGTGAGGCTGAGCGTGAGGGAGAGCGTGAGGGAGAGCGTGAGGGAGAGCGTGATGTGAAGCGTGAGGAAGAGCGAGAGGGAGAGCGTGAGGGAGAGCGTGATGTGAAGCGTGAGGGAGAGCGTGATGTGAAGCGTGTGGGGGAGCATGGGGTGAAGCGTGAGGGAGAGCGTGATATGAAGCATGATGCGTCTTCTCCCTCTACTCCAGCAGGTGTTCGTGCGGCCGATGCACACAATGTTCGAGGGCATGAGGAGGGTGGGAGGGAGAGCCGTGGCGCTGAGCTAGAAGATCAGAGGGGGGTGTCAGGGAGGGTGAAGGCACGGTCCAGAAAGGCTGGAAAGAAGGCCGCTACTGAGGTTAAATCTTCTGATGGAGAAGATAGTTCTGAGGAGGAATCAGGGAGTTCATCCGGGAGCGAGGATAAGTATGATGAGGAAGAGGACGAGAGTGATGACGCTGAAACTGGGTCCGGGAGTGATGACGACGGTAGGAGAGGGGGGAGGGCGCGAGGAGCGCACAACCACCAGTATAGCGGAAAGTGTGGTCATGCAACCGGTGGTAAGGCTGGTAGTGGTCGTAAACGGCAGAGACGTAGAGAGTGTGCTCAAGGAAAGCGAGCAGATACTGAGGGTTACGCCCGGCGGCGTCGTAAGGAGCGTCCTGTTGTGAGACAGGACGTTGGCTTCTACAATGAGATGAGGACCATGGTGAACTCGGATGATGCTGGTCCGTCGAATCGTCGGGAGAACGTTCGGATGAAACGGGCAGCAACCAACGATCTGTATGCTGCCCTTGCTTCCACCTCAGGATTGGGAAAGAGAGCATCTAGATTTCAAGATTGGAGTGTGCGTGACAACGCTGGCCAGCAGCATGACAACACGCACAATCCAGCCGGTGGTAGTGACGATCCGGCCTGTGGTGGGGGGCTGGGGGCAGAAGATGGTGAGGCGGGTGGTGTTGGAGATTGGTTCAATGATGGCAGGAAATTTGGACGCTCTGACCCAGCAACTCCACCCCCGTTCGCATCGGCAAGAGGCAATTCCCCGCTCGACGCTAGCGGAGTGCCCATCATTACCTCGAGCAATTCTCCTAATGAATCCATGCAGCAACTCTTCCAGGCATTGCAGGAAGCTAATCGGCAGATTGCCGAGCTAAAGGCCGGTCGTGGACCTTCGGTGGACCGGGGGGGAAGTGGGACACAAATCCCGCCACTTACCTCGATATCCAGTGAACAACCTGAGCCGCCTGAAACACCGGGCGCTGTGGCGGAGAGCGCTGTACAAGGCACTCCCATCACCAGGAGGCATGGGATGCCAAACGCGACTAATTTGAAGATAAGTGCCACCAATTTCTCCTACCGATTGCCACACCTGACTCGCTGGCTTGCTCATTATACGGTTTTGTTTGACCAATGGTGCATTTTCATTCTCTTTCTCCAGTTGTCTAGTTTTTCCCACTCTCTGGTCTCATTCTCTGCAGTGACTCATTCACATTCCCACTCTCTGCTTTCCTTCTCTGCAGTGATTCATTCTCATCCCACCCTCTGGTCTCATTCTCTGCAGTGACTCATTCACATTCCCACTCTCTGGTTTCCTTCTCTGCAGTGATTCATTCTCATCCCACCCTCTGGTCTCATTCTCTGCAGTGACTCCCACTCTCTGGTTTCCTTCTCTGCAGTGATTCATTCTCATCCCACCTTCTGGTCTCATTCTTTGCAGTGACTCCCACTCTCTGGTTTCCTTCTCTGCAGTGATTCATTCTCATCCCACCCTCTGGTCTCATTCTCTGCAGTGACTCCCACTCTCTGGTTTCCTTCTCTGTAGTGATTCATTCTCATCCCACCCTCAAGGCTCATTCTCTGCAGTGACTCCTTCACATTTTCACTATCTGGTTTCCTTCTCTGCAGTGATTCATTCTCATCCCACCCTCTGGTCTCATTCTCTGCAGTGACTCATTCACATTCCCACTCTCTGGTTTCCTTCTCTGCAGTGATTCATTCTCATCCCACCCTCTGGTCCCATTTTTCTGCAGTGACTCATTCACATTCCCACTCTCTGGTTTCCTTCTCTGCAGTGATTCATTCTCATCCCACCCTCTGGTCTCATTCTCTGCAGTGACTCCCACTCTCTGGTTTCCTTCTCTGCAGTGATTCATTCTCATCCCACCCTCTGGTCTCATTCTCTGCAGTGACTCCCACTCTCTGGTTTCCTTCTCTGCAGTGATTCATTCTCATCCCACCCTCTGGTCTCATTCTCTGCAGTGACTCCCATTCTCTGGTTTCCTTCTCTGCAGTGATTCATTCTCATCCCACCCTCAAGGCTCATTCTCTGCAGTGACTCATTCACATTCCCACTCTCTGGTTTCCTTCTATGCACTGATTCTTTCTCATTCCCACCCTCTGGTCCCATTCTCTGCAGTGACTCATTCACATTCCCACTCTCTGGTTTCCTTCTCTGCAGTGATTCATTCTCATCCCACCCTCTGGTCTCATTCTATGCAGTGACATATACTCATTCCCAATACCCCACATTCCCATTCTTTGGTTTACCCTACATTCTCATTTTAAACAGCTGTACATGGAAGAAGCAAGGAAGCGCATGTGTATGGAAGCTGAGGACCATCTTGTCACGTTCTACCCAAGCTTTGAGAAGCGGATTCCTGTTTTGCATGAAGTCATTTCTGAGCATTATGTGGTTCCATTGATATTGCTGAAGGAGGCCATGGCGGATAAAACACAGAGGGATGCATTCAAGCGCATGTATACGCAGTGGAAGAACGAGCGCGGGTTTTACGTCAAACGGACCGTGCTCGAGGGGTTGGGGGTTCCTATGAGTGGCTTTCGGGCAGCGGAAATCCACATCGACACTGAGCTCAAGGAGGATCTCTGGGGGGAGTATGGCCCGAGTGAGTAAACACCTGCCTGACCTTTTCCCCCACCCTCCCCCCCTCCCCCTTGTTTCACCATCTCAGCCCTAGCACCCGTTTCTTGCAACACCCCATATCTGTACTCCATAGCTTGGCGTTTCCTTTACATGGACCATTGTAGAAGCCTGTGATTCGCCAGCCCATCCACCCTCTTCCCTTTTCACACCCCACCCATTGAACCACCTTCGTTCGACTGTGTTGCAGGTGCCGACGCCCAATTGAGCACATGGGGAAATGCTGAGGTTACTGATCTCCCGTTCGGCAACGAGATTTTCTTCAACGCAGCAATGGACGCCTTCGGTGAATTTGCCGTGGGGAACAACATATGCTTGAAGGCGTATCATATTGCCTGGACTATCTTGGTGGTGAGTGGCTTGTGAGGGTCCTTTTACTTGTTTCTCATCCCACACTTTTCTCCTTGGTAAACCCGTGCCATCCCGTGTAAACCTTAAACCCCCGTGTTTCCACCTCCCTTTCAGGTGCTTCTTGAAACCTTGGTATCCACCTGCCCAGGGGAGTTGCGCCCACTCTGGGTTCACGATTTCACCAATCCCCTCACGTCCATGCAGTACCCATCAGTATCCTTCCCCTCCCCTGTTTCCGAACACTCTTTGGTTTCCTCTTCCTTTCAGAAGCTGCCCCACTCCTCTATCACCTTTCATGCTCACACTCTACCACCATGGCGTACTTCACTGGATGTTGTGCTTGCCCTTCATGATTTCGACCTCTCACACTTATCACGCTTGAATCTGTCCATGCTCCCCTATTTTGACGATGCAGATTGACTACGGCTTGTCGAAGGTCAAGAAGTCGACGATGAACCTCACAAACTCCCACCGAAAGAACACGCGGTGGGTGGCAATCATCCGCAGGGCGGTGAAGCGGGCGGTGACGGATCATTTCAGCCAGGTGAACCCTGTCTACGACCCACGGATGAAGGGGTTTAAGTGGGGGAATTTTGGCTTGTTCGTCCATGAGTCGGGGTTCGAGGAGTATAGGCCAAGACCACAACCCCGCCATCCGACAAGGAGGGTGGCGTCAGTGCACGTCTAGAGGAGATGAATGGTGGAATTGCAGTGCTCCGAGCTTGGAGTAAGAGCAGATGTGGGGACAGGGGAACCACAGCAGGGAGGGGAGGAGAGGAACCACAGCAGGGAAGGGAGGAGAGGAACCACAGCAGGGAGGGGAGCAGGGGAACCACAGCAGGGAGGGGAGGAGAGGAACCACAGCAGGGAGGGGAGCAGGGGAACCACAGCAGGGAAGGGAGGAGAGGAACCACAGCAGGGAGGGGAGCAGAGGAACCGCAGCAGGGAAGGGAGGAGAGGAACCACAGCAGGGAGGGGAGCAGGGGAACCACAGCAGGGAAGGGAGGAGAGGAACCACAGCAGGGAGGGGACCAGAGGAACCGCAGCAGGGAAGGGAGGAGAGGAATCACAGCAGGGAGGGGAGCAGGGTAACCACAGCAGGGAAGGGAGGAGAGGAACCATAGCAGGGAAGGGAGCATGGGAACCACAGCAGGGAAGGGAAGAGAGGAACCACAGCAGGGAGGGGAGCAGAGGAACCACAGCAGGGAAGGTAGGAGAGGAACCACAGCAGGGAAGGGAGCAGGGTAACCACAGCAGGGAAGGGAGGAGAGGAACCACAGCAGGGAAGGGAGCAGGTGAACCACAGCAGGGAAGGGAGGAGAGGAGTCACAGCAGGGAGGGGAGCAGGGGAACCACAGCAGGGAGGGGAGGAGAGGAACCACAGCAGGGAGAGGAGCAGGGGAACCACAGCAGGGAAGGGAGGAGAGGAACCATAGAAGGGAGGGGAGCATGGGAACCACAGAAGGGAAGGGAGGAGATGAACCACAGCAGGGAGGGGAGCAGAGGAACCACAGCAGGGAAGGGAGGAGAGGAACCACAGCAGGGAGGGGAGCAGGGTAACCACAGCAGGGAAGGGAGGAGACGAACTACAGCAGGGAGGGGAGCAGGGGAACCACAGCAGGGAAGGGAGGAGACGAACCACAGCAGGGAGGGGAGCAGGGGAACCACAGCAGGGAAGGGAGGAGAGGAGTCACAGCAATGAGGGGAGCAGGGGAACCACAGCAGGGAAGGGAGGAGAGGAACCACGGCCGGGAAGGGAGGAGAGGATTATCAGCAAGGAGAGGTGCGCAGGAGTAACAGCCGGGAGGGGAGCACAGTAGTAACAACATGAGGGGGGAGCAAGGATTGACATCAAGGGGGCGGGGTTAAGAAATAATAGCACAGCAGGGAGGATGCAGCGGGGAGTAGCACAGCAGGGAGGATGCAGCGGGGAGTAGCACAGCAGGGAGGATGTAGCGGGGAGTAGCACAGCAGGGAGGATGTAGTGGGGAGTAGCACAGCAGGGAGGATGCAGCGGGGAGTAGCACAGCAGGGAGGATGTAGCGGGGAGTAGCACAGCAGGGAGGATGAAGCAGAGTACGGACCAAGGGTTGATAGTGGGTAGTAGTAGCGCAGGTGTCATTAACCGAGGATGATTAGTAGAGTAGCTAAGAACCAGAGAATAAGTAGGCATCTAATGTGTCGTAAACCTTTTCAAGCTAATATTATGATTTACATGTACATGCCTTCCCTCTTACGGAAATTGAAAAAGAAAATCCAGATGATTGTTTTTTATTTGATAATTTCTCCGCTTTTTTTTTATGCCGCTAAAATTTTCAATTTTAGCTTGACTCTTTGTATTCTTTATGTATTTATTATTTATGTACTAACTCGGAACCTAAGCCGGCTAAACCTCCACCAACATTTTACTACTCTCAACATGTATTTACTTAATAATCGTATAATCCAATATCTTGTGTTTTATGCTTTAACCTTTGAAAATTTGTTGCTTTCATATCCAATTTTTAGTTTTCTTTTTTTTTTGGCTTTACCTATTTATGGAAAGTGCTAAAGAAACTACCAACTGGGTTTTTCAAACTCCGATTATGTGTATTTATAATACCCCATAAACCCTTTCCAAGATTATTATATGCATATAAAAGTAAATAGCAAACCTTATACAAGTCTAAAATTGAAGCACATAACATGATTTAAACAAGTTATCCCAAACACAATGAGAAGTTCCTCACAACCATTTCCAAACTGTTTAAAAGCACTCCGATCATCTGCAAAGCATCTGACATACCATCTGGAAAAAGTTCGATACTTGCTTCTAAAAAAGCACCGACCCCTACATCTTCAAATCATCTGCAAAAACACAACAAACACACTTCATGAGAGGTTTTCCGCCACTTGATTTTTGTGATGGATGATGATGATGATGATGATGATGATGATGATGATGATGATGATGATGATGATGATGATGATGATGATGATGATGATGATGATGATGATGATGATGATGATGATGATGATGATGATGATGATGATGATGATGATGATGATGATGATGATGATGATGATGATGATGATGATGATGATGATGACAGAGTGCAATGAAGCAGCAGCGGACGGAAGAGCATGAGGGGATGCCACACAACGCACATAGCTCCCCTTCACTCTCCCCTCGTCCCATCATCATGGTGTTTTGTCTCAACGAAAACGGGAACAACACAGGAGGTCGAGCCTGCCAGAGCCGCACAGGCAGGCACTTATCCAGCAAGACGCGCACTCACAGAGCGGTGACCATGCCATTGAAATCACACAAAATGCCTCTGGGCTTCTCCCATTGGGCTTCAGTTCCCACATAATTCGCCACGGCGCAGTCCTGTCCCGCACTCCACGTCGGCATCACCACGTTCCACTCCGTCTGGCAGTCCTGAAGAGCCGGGACTGTACCGTGGAGGGAGAGAATGTAGTGCAGTTGGCAAGAGACGAGCCGTCAGTCAGTGAAGACAGCGCCGCGCGTCGTTGTGTCACGGATTTGTTGAGCTGGACATTTGAGAGTGGAAGGAAGAAACCGGACGGACAGTGAAATACGCGGCGGCGGTAGCAGTAGAGAAACCGAGTGACTCGGCGGCACCATCATCGCGAGCAGAGCTCGTGAGGGATGTCGTGGGTACGCGAGTAATGAGGTGATGTAACAGCTATGGAAAAGGGACCGCACCACAGGCCTCTCCGAGAGTCACTGATGCCAGCCCTCGAATAGATGGCGGATGTAAGTGATGATAGTCACGGAGAGTGGTACCTTGGGAGGCGTCGAGAGGGACAGATGTGCCGGTCAGTCCGGCAGTGGCGGTGCGAGCGAAAGAGAGGGCCGCGAGACATGATGCCGCCGCGGTCAGGAGCAGAAGTGGCACCGGCGGCGTCATCTTCACACGCCGATTGCTAGTACTAGTAGAACTGCTAAGTGACTCCGTGATGGTTGCTGTAGTAGTGGTACGTGCACGTCGGGTCTCCGAATGTCGAGCCTCCTTGAGAGATGATGCGCCGCATTGCGCCAGCTGGTGTCGCCGATGGTGCATCACGCCGGCTCGTAACGGTTGACTCGAAGCGTTTGAGGAGCAGGTGCACTATAGTTGCGTAGCAGCAAGGGCCAAAAGAAGACTCGGCGTTTGTCCTGATGAGAGTCAGTGTCGGAGGGATCTAGTAGGTGCACGCTGGAAGGAGCGGCCAAGATTAATTTTAGGATACGCAGTCATCACCGAAAAAGCGAGCTATCAATTCTTAATTGGTACTTGTGCACATCCTCGGAAGCCATAGTAATCATAAACGCGGACCCTCTCAAAAATCAGGAGGCCTCTGCCACACAAAGGCACGATGATCTCACCAAAACACCTCCACGACGAGCCCGAATTAACCTTTTTCTAAGGCTCGGGAAGCAGAGGAAAAGAAATATGGACCACTAACCCCGAGCCAGTTGTGACGAGCAGCAATAGCACCTAATGCGGATGGTGGAGGCTCTATGCACTGGCGAGGTTGTGTCCCACTCGGAAAACTCATGGTAGGAATACGGAGATCCAACATCCTCATTCTCACAACAACACCACAGACCTAACTCAAAACGTTCTTGAGTTATTGTGCAAGTTGCCACATGCGCAGACACCAATTCATGCCTATCCACATGGAGAAGCTTTCGAACTTCGGAGTGTTGTTTTCACTGGGACGGAGTGGAAGCCCCCTAAATGGTAACTTTGCGACACAACAGAGCCTATCAAAGGTCCGTTCGGTCTGTGGTTAATCTGAACATACGCGAAAGCATATGCTTTCTTCACAGTTCATTCATCACATCACTGGTCTGGGGGTGCTGAAACGAGAAAACCGCTCTAGATTTCACAACATCGTACTCAACCTTTTCATTCATTACAAGTCGGCGTGCTGGAGCAAGAAAACCGCTCTAGAATCCACAACATCGTAGGAAACCGCTTCAACTGAACAAAAGGTAAACCAAGAGTGGCCCGCCCTGTCTTTCTCTTCAAGTCTCTGCTGGAAGGAACAGGGGATGGTACTACAACGACTAATAATGAAACCGGTATCTTCTCTAGGAAAAGCTGTAATTCCAGATTGACACAGAAGTTGTAATGAAAGATTGACACGGAAGTTGTAATGAAAGACTGACACCTCATAACGAATAATCGAACAGTGCTCTCTTGGAACTTCACTGTGGTTGAAGGGTTTTAGTCGAAAGGGAAAAGGGTAACCACATTCGAAACAGCTGTTGTGAGGTACAAGTGGCCACAAACAGCCTTGAGAGCCAGCTGTAATTTCTTTTAAGGACGTGGGCCCAATCGAGTTTGATCGCCTCGATCACACACGATCGTTAAATTCCAGGAGGCCTGAAAGCTTATTTCAGACAATCGGGGGCAATCAATTGATCGCGATCAGCTGATCTCCCCAACTCGATCAGACCCAATGTCACCCCGATCTAACCAATTTTCCTCGATCACGGGTGATCACTTGATCGCATGTGATCGGGGCCCACAGCGATGCTTGCGAGTGGCTACACTATTGCAACTAGAGTAACGAAATTTCGCGAGGTGAAATTTGGTCGTCAACCTCGCTACAAATTGGGATGAAAATCCAAAATAAATGGTATGCGCTTGCTAAGCAGGCGCAGAAAAGCTTCCAAGAAAAACATCTCTGATCGGGCGGCTCGGGTACATGCGATCACAAGCAGCCCGACCAGTTCCGATCCGATCAGATCAGTCGCGATCAATCTCGATTGGGCCCACATCCTAAGGTAGATTAGGTGGAAAGGAAGCGCCCTAAATTGCAGTCACACAATCTTGTCGTTGCTGCTCGGGAAACTCGAGACAGGTGAGGTTTAACACTGTTCACAAAAACAAGGAAAAAAAAAAAAAAAAACACAAAACAAGAGGCGACGAAATCTGTGAAACAAGTGAACAGGAATGAAATGACTAAGTCAGAGTTGGGTACAAATACAACCCTAGAAAGCTGTACCCCATATGTGCTACCCCACTATAGCCTACAAACATGCATCAGCTATAATAATCTGACACACCCCCATAGGCAAAGTGGGGGAGAACAAGGGGTCACAAGACCAGTCAAGCAAAGCAAAGCAAAGCAAGCTCAGGGTGGATCACAAAGTCACCACACAGTCCGAGCACAAGAGCAGGGCCAGAGGCCAGTTCACATGCAGGAGTACAGACATATATATAAAACTAGACAAGCAAGAGCAGGTATATATATATGTCACAGTACAAGTGAAGTCAAGAGGAGAGCAAGTGAGGCAAGACAGGTACAAGACCCAGCTGGGTGCAAAAGCGCTGATGGTCACAAGGCGCGAGTGCCTTGGTGAACACATCAGCAGTGTTGGCCTCAGAGGCCACGTACGCAAGTCGCAACTGACCACGCTGCTGCAGCTCACGAGCAAGGAAGTAGCGGAGAGCAATGTGCTTCGTTCTGTGCTCCAAGCGCTGCTCTCGACACAAGGCCAGCATGGCCTTGTTGTCTACGTACAGCACTGGAGGAGAACGAGGCGGCTCTCCAAGGTCAGTCAGCAGGTAGGTGAGCCAGCGAAGCTCCTGTGCAGCCATGGCCCCGGCGTAGATCTCAGCCTCACAACTGGAGCCGAGAACCGAGGACGAGCGAGTAGACCGCCACGAGACAGAGCCGGAACCAAGGCTGAAGGTGTAACCCTGTGACGACCGCTGCTTAGCCTGGTCGTCAGCCCAAGAAGCGTCCGCATGGCCGGTAAGGACCACTGGACTCCGCCCTCCAAGCACTAGCCCCATGCCCGACGTACTGCACAGGTAGCGCAATACCCTCTTCGCTGCAGCCATGTGCTCCGGTCAGTGTCTCCCAGGAGCAACATAGCGTGCAAGAATGCTCAGAGGGTATGCAAGGTCAGGTCGTGTGCAGGTCATCAGGTACATGAGGCAGCCAACAAGCTCTGCATACGGACCACTCGACTCTACGGACTCATCCGAAGGCAGAGCTGAGAGTGAGTGGCGAGTAGGCAGAGGAGTGGCCTGAGGCGAGGAGTACGTGAAGCCGAAGCGCTGAAGGACCTGCTGCACCATGTGTGACTGAGTCAAGGTAAAGGTGCGGCGTGCTCTGTCCCGAGTGATCTGCAAGCCAAGGTAGCTGCGCAGTTCACCCAGGTCTGTGCACGTGTGTCTCTTCAGCAGCTCGGACTTCACGTAGGCGAGTCCAGCAGTGTCCGCTGTGGCAAAGACCAAGTCGTCGACGTACACGAGGATGTAGAACGGCGGCAGAGAAGTGTCGGTGCGCAGAAACAGCGACGGGTCAGCAGTAGAAGGAGCAAACCCAAGAGCCGCAAGCGTAGTCCTCAGTGTGTCGTGCCACTCACGCGGTGCCCGGCGGAGACCGTAGACTGGCCGTCGGAGGCTCCACTGGGTGCCAGGAGGGAAAGTCCTAGTGAAGCCAGGTGGACGGCGCAGCCAGATCTCCTCGTGCAGGCTACCCTGCAGGAACGCAGTGCTGAAGTCGAGAGAGTGAAGCTCATAGTCGCGCTGAGCGGCTATGTGCAGCAGCACCCGAAGAGTGGTCATCTTCGGGGTGGGAGAGAAGGTCTGAAAGTAGTCAACTCCCTGCCGCTGACTGAAGCCACGAGCAACGTACCGCGCCTTGAAGACAGGTGGAGAGCCCGGCGGCCGCTTCACCTTGAAGATCCACATGCCACTAACGATGTTCGCCCCAGGAGGGGGAACTGCGTCAACGTAGGTGCCTGTGGACTTCCAGGAAGCCATCTCTGCATCCATAGCTGCCTGCCACTGAGACGAGTAGGGACCCTCTACAGCCTCCGCGTAAGAGCGCGGAGTCGGGATGTCTAGTGCATCCGGGTCTCCCTCAGGAGCAAGCAGTACAGACGCGAGATGAGGTGAAGCAGCCGCCAGACACTGTAACTCCTCCTGCCTGTCCTCTAGGACGTCCGTGCCAAGAGCACAGTCACCCCCGACGGACGGAGGACAGTCAGACGCTGACTCAGCAACAAGACTAGCAGCGTAGTCTAGACGACAGCGAGCAGCAAAGTTGACGAGCTCAGCGACAAGGGCAGACGCAGCAGTGGACTCAAACGAGGGGTCACTGACGACAGTAGCAAGGAGACGCGTGACAGTAGGACTGGCAGCACGAAGAGAGTCCGACTCAGGGTCGGCAAGCGCAGGAAGAGAGGACTCAGGAGGAGAAGGCAAAGGGGCACGCAGAGGAGCAGTGGACGGACGCAGAGACATCCGGTGCGTGCCAGGGATAGGAGGAGGACGCTGACGCGAACCGCAACCACTAGTGCGAGCAGCACGAACAGGCGACGCAGGACGAGACGCAGGCTCACGACGCTCAGCAAGACCTCCAGTAGGACCAGTGTAAGGAGAGGGAGCAGGCAGTGGAGAGGAAGGCTCCAACAGGGACTGCGACTGGACAGGCTGTGGACACTCTACCGGAGGAGAAAGACCAAGAACCTGCTGCAGGAGCGGAACGAAGTACGGCCGAGGCCGCGCGGCAACTCCAGACTCAGCAGGTACAGCACCAGCACCCTCAGCGACAGCACCAGCGCCACCAGCACCTCCAGCAGCAGGACCTCCAGCAGCACCAGCAGCAGAACCACCGCCAGGACAGACAGCAGCTGTCTCAGCACCAACACCCTCAGCGGCTCTAGCTCCAGTAGGACCCGCAGGCCCAGCAGCTCCGGGACCGGCAGGACCAGCACCCTCTACGGCCCTCCGCGTAAGAACGCGGAGTCGGGATGTCTAGTGCATCCGGGTCTCCCTCAGGGGCAAGCAGGACAGACGCGAGATGAGGTGAAGCAGCCACTAGACACTGTAACTCCTCTTGCCTGTCCTCTAGGACGTCCGTGCCAAGAGCACACTCACCCCCGACGGACGGAGGACAG